AGTCAGTAGTTAAATTCCAATAGTAGGTAATATAATACATAATTTAATACTTTAATTCTAACGTAGACAATCTAGTTTCCTTATGGCATCGAGCATTTCTTTCTATATTGAAACAAAGAGTTTCCTTTTTCTTGTATAGAAGCACTATTTCTATGGATTGTCAGTATACATATGTGAGCACCATGTGGCATGTTAGACTTAAGATTTTTATTTTTTTTATTTTAGTAAGTTATTAGTATAATGTGTCAAGCGTGTCTTTGCATTGTTTTTACATATGTGTACAGTATTGAAATATGTATCATAAACATACTTTTTAAAAAAAAGAGTAACGAATGGAGTTTCTTGCTCGTTCTTCTCCATTCGAATCTACATTTTGGAATGAGCACCTAGCTTCACCTAATTTCACTGACGGACTGACTGACAGACTATTATTTATTTTGTATTTGTTGACGTTTCAAAAGTACCAAACTATGGTTTAACTCGTCGAGTACCGGTATTGTAGACACAATTATAGAACAATAGGTTGCGGTCACCGGTGACCGCTTGGTGTTTGACAGTTTAATTGATAAATACTTTGTGATTTCTCCCGTCCGGGTGAGGCGGCAGGGAGTGTGAATCTTACTGACTAAAAACCACCCCGTTCCTACTCCTGCGCTTCGAGCTGGAGCCCCGATAACCTTTTACGTTCTCTGCGGCTCCGTATCGGCATCAGCCCTATTGGTCTCCATCCATAACTAATGTCACAGTATTACGTAAATTAATATCGCCCAATGTAAGGATGTTAAAGCGAAAGTAATGTCACTTAGAAATGATTGAGGCACCAAGATGTCCGTGGTGTATTTATGTGTCACAACTTTTATAAGAATAAGAATAAGAACGTTTATTTGCACGAAGTATGGTAATTACAGGTAGTAATAATTATAAAAAATAGTCCCACATACATCGCCTACTGTTTTCAGCATGCAAAGTTAAGTTTTACAATATAATAAAGTTAAAATCTTACATTCAATAAAACCAATTACAAAAATGCTTACAACTAGGATAACATAATTATTCCTCCTAACATATTATTATTACTTTTCTTCTTTATTCACATATTTTGAATCATTAAGAAACGGACCTCTATTCCCAGAACAAAAAGGTAGAAAATTACCTCTTCTAAAACCTTGTTCCTTTTAATCCATACTTCCAGGAACACCCTGATCTTCCTCATTCATTGAAAAACAAACGGTTCATGTTTATGTTTCATTATGCAAATACAATTAAAAATATTATTTGTTATACAATTAATATAAAAGAAATTTTCATATTATTATGTATAGTATTTACTAAGATTTATAAGAATGCCCATTCTATAGGATAAAATGAATTGATAACATTCCCCAAAAGCCTTCGAGAATCTTTCAGCCTGAGAAGTTTTAAAAAACGAGGTTGAATAGGTTGCTTATGGGACGACGTGCTCCATCGTAGACAGCTTCATCAGTTACCACCAGATAGTAGTCAAACGTCGCCCAATCAATTGGGATGACGACAGGGTATGAAAATTAAAAATCTAATTAGTCCGTAAGTTAGGTATTTAAAAAATATTAGACACGTATTTTTTTATTTTGTCGTATAATAAAACAATACTTAGATAAAACGAATCAAACTTTAACCCTCTTATTAACCCTTAATAAAACCATGGGAGCATAGCTCCCACATCATTTTTTATTTTTTTTACCGGCCTATGGCTAAAATACTCCCACATCTTTTCATAGACTATGGACTTTAGAACATTTCTAAACGAATAAAAAAAAAAGAAAGTGACAGAAGTCAGTTGTCTACCTGACAGCTGAGAATATTTTTACTCAACGATTTTTTCGCGCGCGTTTCGTGTACATTGTGAAAAAATATCGAATTCTTCATAAACAACGAAAGGTAAGTCGTGCAATTTTTTTCACAAACAAAGTTTTTGAGCCTAATTATACATTTATGTATCCAATTCATTGATCATTTGGCAATTCAACTTACACCCAGCCAATAAATTATGTGGGAGTCATGCGCCCACGGTCCGATTGAGTCTCCCTATTTTGTTCCAAGCTCTAATATAATTTGCTTTTATTTGATTATTTTTGCGTTTACAGATATTGAAAATGGCTAAAAAAAAGTCAATGCATGATGACGAAATTGCGAAGGCGCTGCATGAGTTGGAATCTTCTGAGGATGAAGACGAAATAGATATCTACAGTTTTAGTGACACTCGTCTAACCGTAGATATGAACTCTGCTTTAGACAAAATCCAAAACGTATCATATGAAGAGCTTTTGGAGACATTGGAATCGTCAAATTCAACTTTCGAAGAAGTTCCGCATGTGGTAACTGAGGAGTCGTCACATCAAATATATCTTTCTACTACTTCTAATGATGTGCATATGAGTGAACCATCTTTGCCTATGGATTGTGAAAGGAATTTCGATCAAAGCGAGCCTCAAATAAATGACTCTTCAATGCCCGTAGAAAATGTAGAGAATGAAGAATATTATAGAGAATTGTTTCAGGTTTATAGTGGATTACAAAACAAGGTTCGCCAGTGGTCAAGTAATGTCGAAAACTTCACAGAAAAAAGAGCTTTTGAGAAGGATCTCAAGTCCCTTATTACAGTAAGCCGAGCTACACCTGCAAATTATTTTTCAAAGATGTTTCCAGATGAGTTGTTAGAAATATTAGTGACAAACACAAATAAATATGCTTATTTCAAAAAATCAAAGTTTTGGAAAGACACAAACAAAGAAGAGCTTACTGCATTTCTAGGAATATTTATACTCATGGGATTGAACCCTTTGGCAGATTTTGAATTATATTGGTCCTCTGATAGATTTTATAATAACACAGAAATTAGCAGTATAATGCCGTTGAAAAGGTTCAAAAAAATTTTGGAGAATTTTCATGTAAGTGACATAACCAAGGAGCTACCACGAGATCATCCAAATTATGATAAGTTGGGAAAACTAAGACCAGCTATATCCATTGTAAATCAAACATTCCGGACGTGTGCAGAGAACTCTAACCACCAATCAATAGATGAGAGCATGGTGAAATTCAAGGGGCGGGATGTAA